AATATGGAAATATAAATACCTCATAATCATATAGCATACATAATGAAAGCAAGCCCACCATAACAAATTCTATCACATATCCAATCTACTCGTCTACACCATTACAATTATCAAACATACACCATTATAATGGTCAAACATTGTTCACTATTTAAAAAGCACCTTCATTTAGACTGCCACAATTACATTGTAAAAAGCACCTTCATTAAGACTGCCACACTATTTAAAAATCAAACGACGTTGACAATTACATTAACACTTAAACTTTGTAAAAACTCATGCAACTTCAATCCAATATTACTCTTTCACAACCGTGACTTCAGTTCATAGTGATAGATGAACTTGTTCTGCAAGCTCATAACCCAGTTAACATGTGGACAGAACAGATAATTGGGGGTCAGGGCCTGCGGTGTCCAGACCAAGTTGTTGGTCTAATTGGGGGGGCTCATACAGTCCAGTCAGAATATGTATAATAAGTAACAGTTACAAACTTATGTTGCTTGGGTTTCTTCCAATACTGAGGGGAGTAAAGTTGAAATACAATCTTAAGCCGGGCATGAGAATGAGTCACCTGTTAATATCTGGAGTTCTAATAAAAATAGTGACTCCAGTGGTAGTAAGAAGTGGGCTGTTGACAAAAAAACAAAATTTGGGAGACGACAAGAGGTCAAAGGCAAATGGTTGGGGGTCCAGTAGAGGGGGTTGGGGTTCTTTGAGTGAAGAGGCCCAGAGTGAAGTTGAATTACAATCGCAGACAGGATGGCAGAAAGATTCACTAGGTGATTCCTAGAAGAAGTCGAGTAAGAATAATGACCACACTGATAGGAAAGAATTGAGGGTTGGCAGAAAATAGAATTTGGTAACTGGAGAAACAATCTCAAAGCCAATTGGTTGGTCCAGTTAGGGCGGTAATGCAGTTCAAACAGATGACATAGATCAGGTAGCTCAGCCAAAAGGTTCCCTTAACTAGGCTTCTTGAAATAGTGATGGTCTGGGTACATAATTTCAATCTCTGAAACTCAAGAAGATAGAGTCACTATTCAATTCTGGGATGTCCAATGAGGATGACGACACTAGCAAGGAAGGGGGGGTTCACAGAAAACTGAACTTGGGGCTGAGGAAACAAGCTCAAAGCCAAGTAGTTGGTCCTGTTGGGGGACTAATAAAGTTCAGACAGACGAAGTGCCCACAATAAAGGCACAACAAATGTGAATGGGCAGCTCCATCAAAAACTTCCCTTCACTGCGCCTCTCCATCAGGACTGTAATAAGAGTCACCATTCAATTCCGAGAAGTCCAGTCAAAATGAGGACCATAGTGATGGGAAGTCAAGCAATGGAGGGTTCACAACAAACAACATTTGGGGGCTGAAAAAATAATCTCAAAGGCAAGTAGATGGTTATCTGACACCACAGTTCTGGGAAGGAATAGGTGTTTCACAAAAAGCAAAATTTTGGGGCTGAAATGAAAGGCAAAGTCAGTCGTCCGATAGGGGGGCCAATACAGCACAGACACAGGAAAAACTCTCTACTAGACCACAATAAGCATAACACCTATCTCAGTCCAAAACAACCGTTGCTTGGGGTTCAAGGGATGAGGGGCAGGGTACAGTACAACTACAATCTCAGACATGACAGCATAAACAATCTGCTGTCAATGTCTATAGTCCCAAACAAATCTAATTTTGAACTTGAAATTCCCCAATCAAAAATGAAAACCCTAATTTCTCCAAAACAAACCTTAATATCGATGATGGAAGGGAGAGATGCAAGGATGTTTTGAGGTCTTTCTCTTCTTGGTTCTTGCAACAGCTCTCGCGGTGGCCTTCGTCTTCTTGGCCTCCTCCGCGGTGCTCTTCACGTTTCTCTTTTCGTCGTTCTTTGTTCAACTGCAGAGTGTGTGGGTGTGTTTCGGACTGTTGGAGCATATCACCTTTAACCCAAAACACCCCTCCCAAAAAAACAAAAAACAAAAATCTGAAAATGATCTTTGTAAAACCGTATTAGAAAACGGATTTGCTAAAGTTGTATTATAAATCGGCTTTGGTAAAACTGTTTTATGAATTAAATTATTTTTGGCAAAATATTTATGTTGAAAATATAAATTGGGAAAAAAAATATTACTAAAAAACGGTTTTACGAAAATCATTTTTTATTAACTCAAATTTAATTACACGTTAAGTAAAAATGGCTTTTCAAAAGTCGATTCTGTGGAGCAAATTTTTATTAATTTTTTATTCATAAAAAAGGGTATTGGCAAAGCCGTTTTCTTGAAAACAGCATTGGTAAAGCTGTTTTACCCTATAATGGGAATAAAGTTAAAAACACACCCTAGAGTGGGACTAAACTTTTGAGAATGCCACATTCAGGGAAAAGCCCTCCTTTATCCCCCCCCCCTTCCCGGCCAATTTCCCTGATTATGCCATTTTCAAAACTTTAGTTCCACTCTGAGGTGTGTTTTTTTTCCTTATTAGCATTATAGGGTAAAACGGCTTTAGCAAAGCCGTTTTCCAGAACACGGCTTTACCAATGCCGTTTTTAGTAAATAAAATTTTTTTAAAAAAATAGCTCAATGAAAACGGCTTTTGAAAAGCTGTTTTTACTTAAGGTATAATTAAATTTGAGTTAATTAAAAACTGTTTTACTAAAAACATTTTTAGTAAATTTTTTTTTCCATTTATATTTTCAGCATAAATATTGGTTGCCAATATTAATTTAAAAAAATAAAACGGTGTTTGGAAAACCGTTTTCAGTTTAATTTTTTTTTTTTTCCCTGTTTTGTTTTGGCTTAAAACTCAGTTGGTCCAACAACAGTCCGAAACACACACACACTTTGCATTCAAAATTTTCGAATAGCACCGTGAAGGAGGCCAAGAAGAGAGACACGCGAAGAGCACCGCTGAGGAGGCAAAGAAGACAAAGGCCACTGTGAGAGCTGTATGAAGAACGAAGAACGAGCAACGTAGCACCACCGCCAAAAGGAGGAAGACCTTCAGCAAACATCCACATTAAGGTTTGTATTGCATAAATGACGGTTTTCATTTTAGATTTCGGAGTTTCAATTTATAAATTAGGGATTGCTGAAACTAGGGTTTTGAAAAGGTACAAATGTTGTAATTTATAAATTAGGGATTGTTGAATCTAGGTTGTTCAATGTAGAACAAAATTTTATGGCCACAAAATTTGACAAATTAGTTGGTCATCTGTTGTATTTTATTTTAAATGGTTGTAATTATCTTATTGTATGTCGAAATGAATTTTTTCCATTTTGATTATATAAACTTTTGTGAAAGATGTTCAGGTTTTTTGCTTGCAAATAATTTTACAATATTTTTTTTATTTCAAATGTGGCCATTATTTAAAATGTACAGGTTATGTATTTTAAATGTACAAGTTTTATATTTGGAAATATTTTGTATTTTATTTGAAATGTGGGCAGTATTTGGTTTTATTTGCAAATGATTTTATTTCCATTTTCATTAAGAGTAGTAGTCCGAAAATAGATGTCTTCATATTGTATGTTTCATCTATAAATTGATTCATCTGACCAATATGTTTGGTTTTCTTTGACGTGTCACATATTTTTGCATTTTTACAAGGGAATTGTAAAACGAATTTGTGAGCATTTATTATTTAGAGTTTGCATAAGTATAGGTTTGAATATATAGAGTTTGTATAGTGTCAGAAACCTATCATGTGTATGTATAGGGTTCAATATGTATGTTGACGATTATATAGACTTTTATAATTTCAGGTTTCTATCAGGCATTATAATCAAATGTCATATAGTAACAATTCAACCATGAAAATCAGATTCCCAAATGTGTTTACGTTATTCTTTTGAAAAAATTGACAATGTTTATATGCAAAATTTACATATGGAAGTTGTTAGCATTATGTTCTATAGAGGGGGAAAGATTTTGCGAAATCGAGAGGAAGGTGTGTTGTTCGACACTGAAATACAAGGGTTGTACAATGTACATAGGGGGATAACATTGGCTGAGTTGGAGGCTATGATGGTGCCCAAGGTCGGTACGTATGGGGAAATAATGCGAGTGAAGTTTAAATGTAGACTCCTATGTCGGGGGAAGTATAGGTTGTTGCCAATCAACGATAATGAGACATTAACTAATGTCTTAGATCTCCCACAAAAATATGGTCCTGAATTTTATTTGGAAATCTATTTGGAGAAGGAGAGCAATGTTGGTGGCACACACATGCCAATTCCGGCGGGAGGGACATTCACTCAAATGTTGACACAATCGCAATCCCCTGATAATACACTTATACAGTCTGCATACATGTACCTCAAGATTACCCTCCATTCAATTATTCTCAGAGTTACACTCAATTCAATGCATCAGAGCATGTTCATGGTTGTTACAGTGCCGGAGCAGGTTCAAGTGCTCTGACAATGTCCAATCCGCTGGTTCGTACAACCCCATTTACCCACTAGACTGAAGAATGTCCAACAGTTTTTAATGGTGAACGTACAATGAAGACAACAACCCAATTGTATGCAACCTCCGATGATACAATGCCATTTTATGACTAGCCTAGAGTAAGTGATGAAGATTCCGTAGAAGATTTTAATGGTGCAAAAGAAGGTGAAGACAATGAATCCGGTCATGACGGAGTTGGAGGGCATGATGAAATGCAGGACGTACAGCCAATTATCCCTTTCTATAATAATGTGCATTTCGACAATGATGGTTCCATCACTAGCCGCGATGTTGTCGAACGTTGGCCATTGTGGGACTCCGAAACTGCTGATTTGGAGAAAGGAATGATCTTTAGTGATAAGAAAAGCTTAGTGCACACTGTTCAATTGTATAACTTGAAGCGCAATTGAGAATGCAAGGTCATAGAATCCAAAGGAAACAGTTGGGTGTCTGAGTGCAAGCACGGCTGTAACTGGAGGGTTCAAGCAACGAAGTTGAAAGATAAAAATTTCTTTCAAATTGGAATGTTTAAAGCACCGCATCAGTGTGTGTACCCAAGAATGAATAGGGACAATTGCAACCTCAAGTTCGATCTCATTGCTCATTTCATCAAGGGACAAATTGCAGTAAGTAACATGATATAATTTGTTAAGGATTTAAGTATGCGTTTACTATATTGAAATGTAACATATATTTGTAGATATCACCAGAATTGCCTCTTACTACCATAATTGAGGTCATAAATGAGAAGTTTCAATTCACGATATCATATAAGAAAGCGTGGCTTACTAGGACGAAAGCTATTGCAATGGTGTTTGGGGACTGGGACGAGTCGTACCGAAGGTTGCCTAGATATATGGTTGCATTGCAGGCATTCAATCTAGGCACAGTTGTCATGTGGGACATGATCCTGAAATTGCAATCTACCTCAATCGGTACTAAAATGTACATGAACGATGTGTTCTGGGCATTTAAACCAGCAACAGAAGGCTTCAAGTACTCGTCCAGTGATATGCATTGACGGCACACACTTGTACGGGAAATACGAAGGCAAGATTGTTGCGGCCATTGCAGTGACTGCTGTAGACAAGATTATACCTCTTGCATTTTCCGTTGTTGACAAGGAGATAATCGAGAGTTGGGGTTGGTTCATTACTCTCCTTCAACGGCATGTGTGCCGTGACCGAGAGGGGGTGACATTGATGTCTGATTGACACACAGCTTTGCTTAGTGTCGTGTCCAAAATTTGGGACAATCCAATAGTGCAACCAAGAGGCTACCATAGGTATTGCTTGCGACACGTATGTAGCAATTTCAATGAAAGATTCGGCAATAAAGTAGCCAAGACTCTTGTGTGGAGAGATGGTTCTACATGGCAAATGCGGAAGTTTAACAAGATTATGGAAGATATCTACAAGCTAGAGAAGAATTCTAGATGGTGGTTTAATCGGATGAACCCTATTCATTGGACATTGTGCCATGATGGTGGTTGTCATTGGGGCATATTGACGACAAACCATATAGAGGGCTTCAATGGTGTACTCAAAGGTGCATGTAGTGTCCCGATTACAGCATCTGCTGAGATAACTTGTTGTCGGCTCGTCAAATATTTTGACGAGGGTAGGACCGTTGCTGAAAATGCGAGTAATCGAGGCCACTTGTACATGACTAACGTTCAACGATGGATTAACAAGCACCAAGCTAAAGTGAATGTCCATATGGTGGTACCGACTAATAGGTAAATTTCATTGGATGCACAGAATTCACAACACATTATCATTTCGCACTCATCAGTCATTCATGTTAGTCTATATTTGAACATACCCTCAATATTAATCCACGTACATACATTTTATCTGTTTGGGGAACAGGGGAATATGAGGTCAGGATAGCACCTCATGGGATAGGGGGGTGATCATCAAATAGTCAGTCTTTGACCACCACTTTGTTCATGTGGGAAGTACACATTATTTCACTTGCCATGTTCCCATATGCTTACTGTGACAGCAGACTTGGGCGAGGATCCTTTTCCTTTCGTTGCACCAGAGTATAGGTTAAAAGTCCACAAGCGTATATTCGCGTAGAAGTTTAGGCCCATGCCGCACGAGCAATATTGGCCTAGCGATGATTACCCAACTTTGCTCGCTGTCCCAGACCGACAACATGAGGTTAAAACGGGTCATCCTCAACATAGTTGTATCCACAACGAAATGGATACCTCCAGACAAAGTGGAATACACCATTGCAGTTTGTGTTTGCAGAGAGGTCATGATAAAAGAAAATGTCCAGCGAGAATCCGATCGATTCGACATTAGTTTTTTTTGTCTAGTTTACATATTAGTGCCACACAACTTGCTTCATTCTTTGAATTGCTGTTAATGTATTATTCAATGAAGCAATATTTATTAATTTGATAATGTAATAACCCGATCCTCGCATATGTTTCTGGAATGTTTTAATCCCTTATTTTGTGCATTTACATCCTTAATGGAAAAATTCATGAGGAATTACATTTATGCATGTAGGTGTTATGAATTTCACCTATATTTGTTGGGCAAAGAAAGTATCTGTCGCAATTAGACTGGTTAAAGTAGGAAATTGAGGTCCTTAGAGACTTGATAATCTGAAATTTATTTTATATTTGAAATCAGCATAATTTTTATAAGGGTGGTTGCAGAAATTTGATTTGGAATGCTTAAACAATTGAATTTTTGTCCTATTCACCTATCCATATATAGCCATGTTCTTTAAATGTTTGACTTAGAATTCTACAAAAACAAATATCCTGGGAGAGAAGGAATTGATAGGAGAGGTTCTTCAAGCTAAGAATTTGGGGGCAAATCTCCAGGTATGCGATTTTAATTGAAGCACTTGATGATCATGTAAGCTTGGATGTGTGTTTATTGTGTTGACAAGATTGTGTTGTGAAATAGATTGTGTTGTGAAATAGAAAGAGAGCTTATTATGGATTTGAGTTGAGGTTAAGTTAAGGTAGGAAGTAGAAGATCATTCTAGCTCCTTATTATTGTATTCCTTATCATTCTACTTCTTATCCCCACCTATTTGAACTCATTGTATATGGTTGATATGTATTTTAGAAGCAATTCAAAGTGTTTAGTTCATGTTATGATTTGTAAAGAATTAAAGAACCAACTCATGATGGGATTGATACATGTTTGACATGTCTTTGTGCATGAAGTTTGAACCATGTTACATCACTTAAAAAGCTCATGTTAAGCCTTAGCAAAGCTCACCAAAAGATTGGGTTTTTTGTGCAATTTTCAGACCAAAACAGGGCAATTGCCGCACGTGCGGGAGTCACTGCCGCACGTGTGGCAAATGTTGAAAATTTTGGGTTTGGTTCTGCTTAAAAGGCACATGCGGGGGCATTTTGCCGCACGTGCAGGGGAGTTTGCCGCACGTGCAGGGCTCACAGCCGCACGTACGACCCATGCTGAAAAACATGGGTTGTTCCGTTTTGCGTGTAGGACCCTCTAATGTTGTCGGAATATATATTTGATACCTTTTCGCTATCTATAAATTCCTTCGAAGTAAATCGAAATAGAAAATAATTTGAGATGAAAGATGAACTAAAATGTTTTGAATGTGTGCAGGGCACACTCCGGAAGGAATAAGCGCGTCATCACAACACTGTGAGTAGTAGTACGCTTTACTACAGCTAATGTTTGCTATTCGCATTCTGTTAATTCCGTTATGTAAGTACCTATGTGAGTGGTTTAAAGATTTGCGAATAACCGATAGAAGGAATGAAACTACTTTTGTATGGCTATGGAATTTTGTAAGACATTGAGATTAGTTTGCTCTAAAGAAATGAAACAAAGTGCTACACGGAACTAAGTGCTACGATGAGAGTCACCTCTAGAATCCGTGTGAGACACCTCTTGGGTTCAGACATGAATATATTCAAGGGCTTAATGCCAATACGTTCAAGGGCTTAATGCCAACATGTTCAAGGGCTAGATGCCAATACGTTCAAGGGCTTATTTCGAAGCCATTATGTTTCAAGATAGGGCCCAAGGCCGTTTAGAAATTAATACTGAATCAGAATAACCATATAATGTCTACATTTACGTATGCATCAATTTGTATTATGATTTAAGTTGAGCATTACATTCTTACTATTCACTGAGCCTAGCTCACCCTGTGTTATGTCTGTTTCTGTAGGTAACCGACCGGGGGGTCAGTCTTAACCCATGGCATCCGCTCTCTTGGTCAACCTTTGAGTGTCCAGGCACTAGACGAAGCCTTTTATATTTTTGTGAAGTTTGTTAAAATGTTGGCTCGTACTTTAATTTTTGTCTAAGGTTGAATGTATATAGCCCCCTTATCTCAAATGTTTTTGTTATCCGCCCAATCTTAGGGCCGGGTCTGTATGTGAATACGTATATCACCGATGCTCAGGTGCATGTTTTGGGTATGTTATTTATCTGTTATGATGTTTGTGATCCTGACATGGTAGTGGTAGCTCAATGGAGGTTATTTTCTGGTTGTTTGACATTTAATGCTTCCGTTCAGGCCCCGTACATTTGTATATAAAGCAGGCCAAGTGTCCATTTCTGAACAGGTCATTCCCAAACTTTTAGGGGCGAGTTTGGGGCGTGACATATAATGTATTTACTACTTGAATTAGAAAATGTCGATTAATGATGACATTGAATTGGCCAAATGTGGCAAATCTCTTCAAATGGAATTTTTTGTTAATTTTTTTTTCCTGCTATCCTTTACTGCTTAGTTTTTTGGAAACGTTCATGTACTGCATTGTCAACACTTTGGTGCATTGATGGTCCATTGTACCCTGACCTCCATGGACACCTATTTATCTGTCCTTCTATCCTTAGTTGATGTGATATTACAAGAATGCAAATATTGTGAATTGAATTAATAATCACCAATATAAATGCATGTCATATTCAATGGTTTGCCACATTTTGTTAGGTCCTAAATTGTTGTTCTGTTTTGAAATAATGAATTACAAGAGGAAGCCCATGTTATCAAGTCAATCGTTGCTCTAAAATTTATTACATATTGGTAAATGCTTAATTTTTGTAAAAAGTTAAGTATTGTATTTCAAATATGCTTCAAAGCCTCTTCAAACCTTGGTACTTCTTTCATGTGATCGTTATCTGCTGCAAAAAGTTCGTGTCGGCATGTGGGCTGATCACACATTAACCTGATCTGATGGTTCATGTGATATTCAATTAATCAATATTTAGTAATATTAAATAACTAGCGTATGCCCGTGCCTGAAGGCACGGTGTAAATAATGTTAGGATTAGAATATAATTGTAATCCCAACACTATTTAAATTTATTTTTTAATTTGATAAAATCACAAATTTATTATAAAATTTTGGAGTTCCCACAAAACTCCTCACGAAAACTCACTTTTGCTTATATAATGTATAACTAGATAGATAGATGTGCCTAGCATACATACAATAATGCTTTTGCTTATATAATTATATGCAAATTGTATCTCAGCCGTTATTTTATAATTTGAATAGATCTACGCCATCCAAATGTCCAAGTAGAACAAGTAGGACAAATGTGTGTAGGACAAATTCAAAAACCATCATGCTTTATTATATACATGTTGAAGATTCATAAGAGATCTAAATTTATGAAATCTATCATGTATTCAATATATTTAAAAATAATAATTAATTGTTCAAAATCATTTAATTTGTAGACTATAAAATTCATTAATTCAATCTTCACTACACACAGTAAAATTTGGCTCCTAATTTTGGGATCTAGACTTTTCCATATAATATTAATAAAAAATAAGTGAACAAAAAGGAGAAAATAAAAAAAATAGAGAGAGAAATAAAAATGGAAGAAAATAAAAAAAATAAAAAGAAAAGAGAGAGGAAAGTTGGATGATGAGATCATAGAAGGATGAGTGAGAAAAGGAAAAAGTAAGAGAGAGAAACGGGAAAATAGAAAATGTATATGTAAGACATTTTTTGAAAAATATATATCTCAGCCGTTGTTTTATAAT